ATCGTGATATTTGGGTTTTATACTTCGATCTTGAAGTTATCGATTATTTATTGTAGTCGATTTGTCTACATTTGTATTATTTGCTCTTTTCTAAAATTTTAAAGCGCACTCCTCCACCAGAGGAGCCTAATAAGGCATATGAGGATAGAGCGAGTAAAGGAGGATACACAATAATTAATACAAAATCGCATGTGTTAATAAAAAATGACAATTCTTTAACATTTGTAATAAAATAACTAATTTATTATTTTAAAAAATCTTTAAAAAAAATAAAACGTTTAGCTCTAGTGAATTGATTTATCTTTGTGGAATGACATGAGTATATTATTTTTCTTAAAAGCATGTAATTTGGCAAAAGAATGCATTTTGTAAAGAACACATAGTTTCACAAACTCAACTTTGCGAAATATTTTTTTTTAAAGGTGGTCGGTTTATGTTATCATCCCTCCAAATTTGGTCAGTTTAACGATTAAACATTCCGATACCTTTCTAAGGTTGTACTTAGGCCGCATCCATCATCAGATCCTTGGTGACACAGCAATAGTTATCAGATTGTTGTTATAGTTTTGCATGGATTCCTTACCAACGTATCATATTTTTAGTTGTAGGATCATGGTTAGTTTTTAGTATCACTACTTTCTTATTTTTAAGCACTTCATTTACTATTTAAATATTATTTCATTGTATTACGAGAAGGAAGAATTATTAGTAAAGTAACTTTATTCTTATTTCTTATCTTTTTAGAAGACTAGTCATCGATCCTATTTTAAAGATTGACCATATCGAATCGATCTACAACACATTCTTTTATCCTTTATTTAAACAAATCAATCATATAGCATATAACATAAACATAAAATTTATATAACACATTTATAATAATCAAAATATTATATGATTTTCTTTTCATATTATAATAAATGAACAATGTATTCGAAGAACCTAGCTGGCACCAAGATTTTGTTGGCTGACATATGATACAACTTTGAAGAACCTAGAGAACAATAGTTGAACGTTAGTTGAATCAGTAGGAAGAAAGGAGATTTTTTTCATATATTCAAAAATTCTTAAACTATTTGTGTAGATGTGGATACAAGTCAACAAAAAATTTGACCTTTTAGAGGTCGAAGTACACGTCTAAAAGAGATATACCAGATAACCGTTTCACTTGTTACAAAATGATCTAAAAGACGTAAATTGCAAGACTTTAACAATCAATAATACACAAAAATAAGTTAAGAGACTATTTAAAAGTAAAAGCAAAATTTTGTTAGGCTCTAGTGAAAACGAATAATTGACCCCGCGTTTTGTCACGGGTTTTTATGAGTTTTTGTTATAAAATAAAATGATTGCAAATGACCGATTATATAAAATTTACTGATTAAACTTAAACTTTATGTATAAATATACTTGTAAATAATGCCTTACTAAATATACCTTTACCCTCAAATAACTTACATTTTAGTTATATTTATAAATTATAATAACCCATAATAATCTAGTGATGGTCTCGAATGAAATAAAACAGCCCAATTGTTTATGTGACTGATATGAGCCTCATGCAACTTTTTCTCGCTCTTATTTACTTAAATGTCACTCTAGTCACTCCACTCTGCAAATCGTCTCTCCCAAGTCACTCTCTCACACACACAAACGCGATCACTTAGGGTTTCTCTTCATCTTCACCGATCGGTTTACGGTCCTTGTCTCTGTTAACTGGCCGACGGACGCAGGTGTTTAGGCTTACTTTCGTTTTCTCGACTGGTACATTTCGTTTTTCTCGTAGTTTTCTTTTATTTCTTTAGCCTCTGAAAGATCAGGTGTTTGTTGATGATTGTTGATGATATATCTTCTCCAAGCTGTTAGATTATTTATTTTTCGTGCATTTTGGTCCGGCCTCGTAATTTAGGGTTTCATTTTCGTTATTCTGAGGTTTTGATTCGGGCGAATGGTGGTGGTAGTCGTACTACTTTTAGCAAAGAAACATCAACTTTTCATTTGGCTGTTTTGATCTATGTGGTTTCGATTTCAACTGCAAAACTGTTATGTATTTTGCTGCAAATCTAACTGCAAGGAGTTCTATTCGACTATCTGTAACACTTGTTTAAATTTCATTGCAAATCAAACTATAAAATCCGGATCAGCACTACAGTTTTTAAAGTAACAGGTTAAACTTCCGTAATCACACTATAGCTCTTTCCTCTTTTAAGTTTTAACCACAGTGAGTATGCTCTAATGCTTCGATATGTGTTGTTAGTACTTAGTAAGAATATGTTTATGATATGCAATACATGACTGTTTATATATTTAAACTTTACATTTCCTTCTTCCTTACATGTGCTCCTTTAATTTCAAATGTCTCAAACAGAAACTTGAAATGGGAATTGAAGAACTGAAAGGGAAACTACAAGTGATGAAGCATTTGGGTGATGAAGATGATGCTGCATTTCAGGAGAAGATTAAGTTGATGAACTTTGAACTGGAAACTAAAATGGAAGAAATGAAGAGCATGGATCAAACACGTTTGGTTAAGGTACGCCAGGGTAATGATGAACTGCTAGAAGCTGTCAAAGAGATAATTAAAGGGAAACTGAAAACGAAACTGCATGTGATGAAACGTTTGGGTGATGAAGATGATGCTGCATTTCAGAAGAAGATTAAGGAGATGAACATTGAACTGGAAACAAAAATGAAAGAAATCGACAACATGGATAATTTGAATGAAACACTTTTGGTTAAGGATTGGCAGTGTAGTGATGAACTTGAAGAAGCTCACAAAGAGTTAACGAAAGTATTATTTCTAAATTATAAACCCATGACTAAATTCCATTAATCTTTTGAATACTTTATAAATTGTTTTTGGTTTTGGGGTTTCAGTGGATGCAGGATATGCTAAGTGGGCGAACAAATATTGGTGTGAAAAGGATGGGGGAAATTAATATGAAGGCATTCCATGGTGCTTGCAAAGACACGTTTGATAAGGAAGAAGCTCAGATCAAGACCTCTGAATCACGCTCTTTGTGGCAGAATAAGGTTAAAAGCCACCCAGAATGGCATGTTGTTGAAGTAGATGGTGATGATGAGGTTTGATTGTTGAAATTCTGTTTCTGAATAACTTTAATATCTTTAAAATCATGTTATTCAAGCAAGGGTATTATTATTATTATGATATGATGCAGAAAGTGAAGAGTTTAAAGGCAGAAAGGGGAAATGGGATATTTGATGCATTCAAGGAGATGAATGAGTATAACCCAAGTGGGAGATATGTGGTTAACAAAATTTGGAACTTGAAAGACAATCATAAAGCTGCTACTTTGAAGGAGAAGAAGATTTTCCTGTTGAAGATGGTGGTTTTTGGAGCCATTCTCATGGCTGTGGTTATAGTGTTGTTGACCAAATTCCCTTTGTTGTTGACCTTTCCCCAGGTGTTGTTGTAGGTGTAGGTGTAGGTGTAGGGGTTGCTGGTTTGATCTTTTGTTTGGTGTAATGAATTGGTAGTAGTTATGGACTTATGGTATTGTAATGGGTTTCTGTTGTGTGATGTAGATGCTATTTCAAAGACTACATCGCGCTTGCAGTTTCTTTGATATTCAACGCCTTCAACTGTTCACTTCTTGCATGCAACAAAAGGAGTTTTCCACTAAAGAATTATCAAAACCCCCACCTAATTCTCTCAATGGTTTTGAAATTTGTATCTTGTATTTGACATTTTGAAAATGGTGAAATATGTACATTGACGTTTTGAGTGTTTCCAAGAGAAAGACGCTTGGATGAAATGGTAACCGGCAACATGACTTAACTTGTTGGACTGTTGGTAACTGACCAATACTCAATTAATGAAACGGATGAACAAAATTAATAACAAAAGAGTAACAAATTTTTTTAGGGCAAAATGCATACTAAGATGCAAATCTTATGACTTTTATATCGGTAATCTATATATCGTTATCAGTTAATTATGTTAACTTAGTTTATTAAAATATATGAATTATTTTTTGTATGACTTGTAAAAATCTCTAAATATTATTAAAAGAGAAACCTTATGACATCATTTTAAACAATCTAGGTCATTGATTGTATTTCAATCTTATGTTTTCTACCCTTAGATCAAATTGATGACATCATCTTCCCCAAATGGAATGTATTTAATTCCAATAAAATCTTTTCAATTGTCAAACAAAATTAACTTACATCCGTTGAAATGGAATGTATATAATTCCAATAAAATCTTCCTATATTTTAAATATTGACTTTCCGGTTATAAATGTTTTAATATGGTCAGCTTTAAATACATATTAGTAACAAACCATTTCAATTAAGACATTAATATCAACCATTAAGATTTATATTAGTAAACCATTAATATAAAATCCATTTTTATTAGGAAACCATTAATACCAAAAAATCATATTCAA